TGGTAAGTTCCGCACAACCATCACACACAAAGAAGGATTAAGTTGTTGGCATTGACGATTCCCTTTAGGATGCGCCCTGCTCTCGAGATCCGTTGAGGAATGGCGGAGCACCTAATTATACGTTTTTTCCCCGAAAGGCATCCGATATTCGTTCGGTGAAGTCGTTCTTCCAGACAATTCTGTTATCCATAACCAATCACGAAGGAGTAAAGAGCAGGGCGCTTCCTACCGTCCCCCCACCTTCGGAATTTTCTGCTGTGGCTAGTTCTCCATTCCCATTCTGCCACTGTCCCTAATCTCCCAACTGTCTACCACTTTTCCCTAAGTTTTTTTTTCCAAAATTCCCCATTTTTCTCTCGAAAAACTGCCGCCCGTCCTGTTGAGCGGACAGAGGAGGAGATAGTGTCTCGTGAAAAGAGAAAACCCAAAAGAACGAACAAAAACGTTTTACTCAATGAGAAATACGACCCCCTCCCCACCTCCAGCGGTCAAACGTAGCACGTTGGGGATTCTTTTCCCTAGGAATCGTCACCAGCATGCGATGTGCCTTGGTTGAGATTTCCATTAGCCAGAGCAGAGCGATCCGTTCTGCAAGGGGCCCTTGCGTCAACAGCGCCTCTAGCCGTTGTTCCATCCCTGCCCCGTGGAAATCATACAAAATCATGACATCATGATGTATTCAGTGTGAATATTAGTCTTGATATTTACTATTTCAGCAAGATTGTCCGAAAGGACATCTCACCAAGGAGCAGTTCATCAAAGTTTACAAGGATTTCTTCCCATCTGGTTCAGCGGAAGGCTTCTGTGAACATGTGTTCCGAACGTTCGACACCGATAATAGCGGATTCATCGATTTCAAGGAATTCTTACTAGCTATTAATGTGACCAGTTCTGGTACACCGGAACAGAAACTTGAATGGGCGTTCCGAATGTATGACATTGACGGCAATGGTACCATCGATGAAAAGGAGATGATTAAAATCATCGAGGTCAGTCTTTCTATTCTTTCCTTTCTCTTTTCTTTGCAGTAGTGCTACAGCTACCGTAGCGTGAAGATCATATGCTTCTCATAGTTCGGTTTAGGGACAGGGGGTAAGCTTCCAACGGTTCTTTTAGGATAAGCCACGTACCCAACTATTATTTAGAAATGAGTAAGCCATTCAATGCCATTTTGCATCATCAGTACTTTGCGAAGAGCAATTGACGTTTCAAGTCCATGTTTCATTTTCTTTGACAAATCCTATGCCAAAGCAAACATCGTGTGCATATGTCACCCCCGTGGGCAACACGGGCTTGATCCCTAACAAAGGGGGATCGTATTTAGTCAGAGGTCGTCTGAACCTTTGTTGTTAGTTTTTTGTCTCAGATGCGACCCGCTCGACAAGTGTCGAGGAGGGGATCGTGGCGGACAAGGTGAAAAGGAATGGGGGTCGTATTGAGGGAAGTTTCTCCGTATGAAGTTACCACCGTCTTTAGCGCTATATTCATGGAACACTAACTCTGAGAGATTGTTCGTCTCTTTGAAGTTCATCTCTTTCGCAGTTAAAGTACATGTGATGTATGGAATGACGGTCTCATTACGACCCCCCAATTTCCATCTGATATGAAAATACCTCATCTGATACGACTCCTCTTTCTCATGCTACCTACCGGCTTCCGAAGCTTTCATCAGTGCTGCCATTTTTTCAAGAAAAATTTCCAGCTTTCTCAAAAAGCTGCCGTCGAGCCACAGAGCGGGGAGGGTTCTAGTCCAATCAGCCACTAATCTAATTTCAACTGTCAGAAATAGTAGTTGCATGGTAGTTCTTAGAAGGCGGCAACCAGGGGGGAGGGGAACGAAAAAGGGGAAAAGACAAAATTGAGGGAAGGCCACAATCGGAAAAATTTCCTCGGTACTAGAAAAAGTCTTCTCAAGCGCGAATACGGCCCCATTTCCTAGCAACCAAGTTCGACCCCTGATAGGGATTTTCCCAACGACGCTGTGTCCTGTTCCCATTTACGTGCCAATCCACCCTCTACGTTCTCGTCTTCATCCCGCGTCGCCATTTTCGATTCATTTATACATTCATTGCGGATTGCAGTCCAACTACATCCAGCCTTCTGGCCTTCAGCTCTTAGCAACATCATGGAAATAATCCCATGCATTTTGAGCACTGGGGAATGATTCCCAGCAATCACATTGGATTTTCGATTTTACCATTGAAAAACGTTTTATTGCATCCATCAGAGAAACTCATTTATTACCCATAATGCTGCGGCGCTTGGAAGCGCAACTTGCTTCTAACCATGTGAAGCGGCACGTTCGCAGTGAATAGAGGGAAACGTCCGACGAACTGAGTGAATACATTATACTCTCAATCGATTCGCTGATTGCGCTTCAACTCTGCTAGCGCTTTTCCTTTTTAGAAGGCTGCACATTAGTGTTTCGGCCTTCATCCTTTGTCATGTAGTTTTTTTCTCGGAATTTTTGAACTTTTCCAGCCTGTTGTCCAGCCCCAGGTGTCCTCAGTCACGCAATAATGTCAGTGAAACTTTCTCATCATGACCGCTGTTTTTGCCACGGTTCGCATATGAAATTGCAGTTGATATCGTCGCAATTAGTAGGGGCGGGCTCACGAGGCATAGAGCCCTCCCGCCGGCGGCTATTCCACTGATTGTTTTCTTGTTGGATCGATTACTAACCGACCACTATTAAAATATTAAGGACAGCCAGGGGCGGGCTCATTCTGCCCCTCCTAGCTCCCCCCCCGACTGATGGCGAATATCAAACATATCTCAAATCTGAGGCGCTAGAACAGTATATGCCTGCGGTCTGCGTATGTGTTGGGCCACTGTCGCAAGACCTCACATGATTTTTCATGACAAATCAAAATTACTTCACGCGACATACCTCGCTTTCTCGCCATTTCTACGAATATTTTTTTGGCAGTTAGATTCGTGGATTACGAGTTTTTTTTTATTCTTAGAGGAAAGATCTTCGGGACTGACGAACCGAATCCTTTAGGTGTAAAGGGGTTCCCGCACGCTGGAATACAGTCCACCTGCCCAGGATAAAAGAACTCATAAGGGAGTGTCTCGAAACCAAACACGATTCCTCTCAAATCAGAGACTTCATTCCCCCTCCCCTGATGGTATTCGCTCAACCGCGATGTACGCGAATCATGAGCTCCTTCCCCGCTCCTACGTGTCATGATAAAGACCCGTGAAATGTCATAACACGCAACATCAACACTGAAGGGCGCACTTTGACTTGGTGGGGGCATTTCGCAGCTTCCCATCGATCACTGCCGACAATTGCTGCGGAAACCTGCAAACTTGTAAAAATATGCAAAAGCGCCAGTTTTTTTCCCCCACATGTCAAGGTTTGCAAATCTCGTCAAGGTGAAACTTGTACTTTAGTAGACTAGAAAGTAAAAGAGGCCAGCTAGGGAAACATCTCCCTCCTAAGCGGAACAGCGCCGCATAGGGTGTTGGACTGCGGACTTATACTAGACTCATTTCTAACAAGGCCGGACACGTCCCCCCCCTCCATCCCAGCGACTATGCACGACCCCTAGAATTGTCCCAATGATGCTGAACCCTGACCTGAACCTCACTCAAGCCGAGTTAGTCTGCTGATCGCAATAATTCCAAGCACTCCTTTTGCCTTCTCACCCTGAGCAGGTCCTGCTGTTCAGGAAAAATTTTGCAAAATACGGCGTTCCCCCTCAGAAGTTCCTCCTTTGGTACCACACCTCCACACTCCCCCTTCCTACCTACAATCTTCTTGAACTTTCCCAGATTACCACGTTTCTGGAGTTTCTTCTCCACAAAATTTTCACTCCCCCCCTGCCGTTGAGTGGAGGGGGAGGGGAAGCATAGCGCAGTCGAAGAAGAAAAAAAAACGTTGAAATTCAACATCGGAGGCATTTTTCTCAGAGGCAGTCATGGTCTCTCCACTCAAACGTTCCTGCTCTGGTATACCTTTCCCCTCCCTCTTCCCATCTTATCTGCCATCTTCTTGAATTCTCCCAGCTTAGTACTTCTTACCACCTTTCCAGACCATTTCCAGAAAATTCTCCAGTTTTCCCCAGAAAACGTTCCTACGAGCGGGGCACTGCAAAGAAAATGAAATCGAAAACGTCGTTCTCGAAGGCAAGTACGACCCCCCCCCCCCTTTCCTCCGCTGGGGATCCCCAACGTACGATATGTTCTGCTCTAACTTGCGTCTGCTCTTTACTATAGCTATTCTAACCTCAAAGAAAGTGCGCACGAGTATAAACTGTGGAGAAATACGTTCTATTTCAGGCCATCTACGAGATGCTTGGACCAGAAGTGACAAAGTCAGCTGACGATTCACCACGAAAGCGAGCAAAGATGATTTTCGAGAAGATGGACGTGAATAACGACAAGGAACTAACGCTCAAAGAATTCGTTGATGGTTGTCTTGCCGATAAGGAGCTGTTCCAGATTTTGACCAATGAAGTCAAAAAATAAGGCGCAACGGTGAACGGGGTGCACGACGTGGTGATTGCCCACAACTAAAGTGCGTGTGTGTGTATGTTTGTTTGTGGCGTGTGTTCTCCCCCTTTAGGTGTGTGATGATCGTAGCCAGTAACAACCGTTCGTTAGAGCACATAGTTCGATAGATAATAGATCAATAGAATTTGATAGTCAGTTTTCATTCAGCAACAGTTAAATCTAACCAGTATAACCAGTTGTCATTCGTAAAAAATCAGTTGTACTTTCGATGACGATACACTTCATTCTCATCTGGTTGTCGTCATCGTCACGACGATGAGGCGCACCCTCGTCGAGGGCCCCGTTCAGCCAGCAGCCGGCACCACTGTGATCCGAATCATTCCTCTACATTTTTTTTGTTTGCCCCTCCCAATCCACATCCATCCATTCTCTCTCTTATCTCAATCATCGTCGTCTCGCCATATTTAAATCATGAACCATTTTTATCCCAAAAAATTATCCAAATATGACTCATTCACTACTTACGCATGCGTTAAACAGCACGATTAGGTCAGGAAGAAGATTTTTCCACTGAATATTGAGATTAATTTTAAATGTTTTGTTTATGTTTCCATTTCATTTTATAGATTTTACCACACGTTGTATAACCATCACATCGATGATGATATGTTGAACGTAATCCGTCATTCTTCCGTCACACCACCACCACCACCCATCCTTCCCCATCCCCCTCCCATCGCGCATCAACTTACATGCTCGTTCGTGTTTTATTCATTTTGTTTTGATGAACTTTATGGATTAATTTTTTGAACTCATTCATTCTCTCGTCGTTTTTGAGCTATTTATGCCATGTTTGCCGTGACTTGTGGTCATCGTTGTCATCGTTTACGCGATGATCGCGCCATCTAACGAGAAGCTCGGACGATTTTCTCGGATGAGAACTTTGTCTTTTACGCATATGTCACAATTTGCGTATTAAATATTGTATATTAATAAGGATAAATGATTTAGTAAATATACAACGTCACACTCTTACGTTAGATATAACGGAGGAATTCGCCGGGCAAACCTAGTTGGTGGTGCTGTTCGGCTTGGGAGGGGGGGTGCTGGTTCCCATGGACCAGTGCGAGACCTGTTAAGCCCTGTAAAGCTATGCAATAGTGGAAGGTTAGCTCCTTTACACTTGACAAGACTACAAGTCGCAACAAGGTGAGACGTGTAACACGAATTAGCAAATGGGACTAGCGAAAGTGCAAAATGCCCCTCCCAAGCCGAACAGCACCACCAACTAGGTTTGCCCGGCGAATTCCTCCGTTATATCTAACGTAAGAGTGTGACGTTGTATATTTACTAAATCATTTATCCTTATTAATA